AATCAATACAATGGCGGCTTTCCTTAGTATAAATAAGAATAATTTTTTTATTTGTCCATACGCAATTTTTACGTATTAACCAGGTGTTAACTGTATTATGGAGAGAGGGCGCTAGTGTCACGTATAAGAAATCTAAGCCCCGTGAATTTATTACAAAAAAAATTGAAAAACTTACTGTATGCCTGCAATATATTAATAAATACGAACATAACAGTCTAATAAAAAGACAGAAGTGTTATATAAGTGAAATACCTAAGAAAAAGTAAATAACATGTTTGTGCAGTGGGAAAGACATTTGTTGACATTTGAAAACGATTATTTATATGTGAAATGTAGTTAAGAGTGAAATTAATTTGATAATTAAAACCATACTTTCTTAAAAAAAAGTGTGTGCATGTAAGCTTTACGCGCGATTGAAGTAAAACTTCTTTGGCGTTGACGGCATATATCACTGAAATGATTAAAAATAAACTTAAATAATAAATATCATATAATTTAATTATATTTATTATTCATGTGCTTTACAAATATTATTCAAATGTTATATTAATATTAAATTATTCATTCGAAACAGGTACTTGAATGTCATCATAATTTCTTACGTATGAAATTATAGGTTTGTGGTAACTATAATGTGAAACATAAATTTTACTCTCTAAATTTTCTACTTTTCTTGAAAATACAGCATCTATCGTTGTTGATTGAAGTCAATTATTAAAAATTTTCGTGTGAAAGTGCACCACGCTAATTGGTTGATACCGTCCTGGCGTATGATTAGTGCGCTGCGCTAATTGGTCGATGCCACGATGCTACTCGCCGATTGGCTGATACCATGTTAACGCGTGAGTGGTGCGCTGCGCTGGATGGTCGATGCCGTGACTGAGATTATTGGCTCTAATTTTTAAATAGCGGAAACTACACAGATTATAGTAAGCCTTACTTCCATCAGAAAAAGCGTTACTTCCGTCAGAAAAAAATCTGAGTTACACCCTAGTCGCGGCTAAAGAAGTTTTACTTCAAAAATAATTAAATAAAATTTCAATAACCAACAATAGGAATTTAACGATGGTAGGGCCATGCAGCAGCCTCGGCTGTTGCTCACCTCACAGAAGACCGGCGTAAAATGGAAGTATAACACTTTCGCGTTTCGTCTGGTGAGTGAGGTGGCCAGAGCCCAATTTTCAAAAGGTTGTCAACGCATCTGGAACCCTCGGGTATAGCAGATGTCCACGGGCGTCGGTATCACTTAACAGCAGGTGAACCGTCTGCTCGCTTGGCAACTTTTCACATAAAAAAATAAAACAATTAAAGTGACAGTTGCTATAACTAAATGGTTACAGGAAATAGTTCAAACCTGTGTCAGTTCCATCAGACTAAAAGAACGCTAACGCCATCTGTTGAAAAGCGTCTGTATCTTAATATCTAAGAACGACCAACATACAGAGATAGCAATTAAAACATGGAAGGCTTTTCTCTGTAGAAGAACTAACCAGTAGTAAAATCAAGCGCATATGACTGCGTTAAGAGTGGCTAATAGCCATAAGGTTCACTTGAAAAGTCACCTTTTAAAATAGCCCTGGGAGGACGTACAGACCCAAGATTTACGCTTATCTATTACTATAATAAAAAAGTACAAATGGTGTGTCTATATATTGAATATATTTATGAAAAATTAAACAGGATATAAAAAAAAAGAGTTATGGGACACATAAAAACTCTTCGTCTCTCTGTTCGAATATAACTTCAAAACTATTTAGCAGATTTCGGTGCAATTTTCACTGTTATAAAGCTTAGTTGGATAAAATATAGGTTTTATTTCAGCGCAATCGGCTCACTCAAACAGAAGATATGTGAGCACTCATAAACCACAAGATCGATTTGAACGGGGATTTCGATAGCGTCTTAGTATAAGTTCCTTGCAATATTCAATTCAATCTTCGTTTCATCGTAATCGGTTCTCTCAAACTCAAGGAACACGTCATAAACTACTGAACACTTGAACCAATTTGAACAGTTATTTTTTTTTTAAATGATATAATATTTCGCAATAAAATTAATTACTTTTCATGCAAAATATGTATAATATTCAACTATGAAGATTTGAAAAGGTGTTACTCAATAAACTTAAACTAACTTTAACAAAGTTATATTTCGAAAACGCGCTATAGCTATTTTTTCACTAGTTTACTTAGGGGACAAGATAACGAAGTGTTGACCATTTTACACTACATTATAATAATAATACTGCGAATTTTATTAATACTACATTGTAATAATAATATTGCGAATTTCTTCGATTGCGATTTACGATGGGATTTTGCTTGGTATACGGATATTCTTGATTTTGCTTTGCGAGTTGTTGGGAATATAGGTAAACAAAAATTTTATTTGGCTAGTCTAGAATATTCCGATATACTGTTTTTGCTTTGTGGTTCGGAAATTGTGTTGGTTATATCTAGAAAAAAATTGATTAGGTATCCATTTTTTGGCTAAATTGCTTCGAAGAAAGACGAGTCTATCTCAGTACACTAGTGAAGCAAAAAGAATGAGAAAGATTGGATCTCTAGAATGTAATGAAGAAGGCAAGCACGACTTAGTGCTGATAGGGAACGCCATTCGTTATCTCGCACATTGGAGTCTATAACTGAGACTGAGTTTTGACTGAGCGCCCCTATAGTGCGTTGACAGTACACCACCAACTTCACACTTATTTTCTTTACAGATTTTCGCCAACCCCTTCCCGTCATAATTCGGCGTCTAAAGTCGACGAAATAATCACCTCACTGAATCTTTCTTATATATGGCCTCAAATACAGAGAATGTGGCAAGCGAGCTGGCGGTTCTCCTGATGTTAAGTGCTAAACTCCGCCCATGGACATTTGCAACGTCCGTAGGGTTTACCTTTACCTGAACAATTTTATTAATAGCCGCTGTTAAAATTATGAACTCGGTGAGATCATCTCATTTTCGTAATACTTATTCAATTCCCTAATAACATCTTACACAATACACTTAGTTTAGTATTAATTTCAATTTAAATTTTAATTTGTGGTAACCAGAATATTAATAATGCCTTATTATATAATAATGAGCGGGAAACGTAAATGATTTCAAATTCACTCTTTACCCATGTCTTTGTGCTATTATAACGAGTGTATGTGCACAATTTCCGTGGCATCCAATTTCCTGCTGAAAACATTCCAAACCTTTTACCCCAACGAGAGCAGCAATCGTTGTCCTAATGGACATTATTAGAATTGCTACTCTAATCATTAACAGGGAAGGGAAGCTCCCATTTCGTTTCTATATATTGTTTTCCCTTGTGAATCCCGAACATTTTTAGATTAAAATTACAACTCATAACTGCAGCTAAATTTTTTTTGATACCGTAAAACATTGAATGAATGAATGAATGAATGTTTATTAAAAAATATATCATCATCTTCTCTTGACAATTTTCAGAGAAATAATTAAATTGAATTTTGTTGCCTAGGAATAAAAACAAATGTAAAAATGGTAAATCCATCTAAGTGTCAGGCAATCATTATTGGCAGTTCTCATCGGATAAATTCACTAGACCACAAGCTTATTTCACCTGTTGTCTTTAATGGGACATGTATACCTTTCTCACTACAAGTTAAAAATTTAGGGCTAATTATTGACAACAGCTTATCGTGGACAACTCACGTTACAAGTATTTGCTGTAAGGTGAATAATACACTAAGAAGTCTGTTCCGATATAAGCTTTTTCTCCCCTCGTGCACTAAACTGTTGCTGGTACAGACGTCGGTGCTGGCGATAATTGATTATGCTGATGTTTCTTACTCGGATGCAAATCAAGATCTTCTCAATAAGCTTGACCAACTCCTCAATAATTGTATAAGGTTCATATTTGGACTTCGAAAATTTGACCACATTTCCCATTTTCGTAGTCAGCTAAATTGGTTGCAGATTCGCAAGCGTAGAAACAGTCACGTTCTTCGTACCCTATTTTCTATCCTCATTGATCCTATCGTTCCCAACTATCTCAAACAAAAATTTATTGAAAATAACACTGCTATTATATTTATCACAAAGTATGTTTCACTTTAAAAATTCAAAAAGATTCTCAAATAATTCTGTAATTTCCGTCCCTTGCTTTGCATACCTGGGGGTTTATAATGTCTACTGTACTTTACCTGTACCTTTACTGTAATTACCCTAAAAGCCTATTAATATTTTAGCTCTTACGAATGTCCATTAGGTCAAAGGTTGTCTCTATATAATATTAACCGCGAGTGTTTCCTGGCGTGTTTTAAAATTACTTTGGTTAAGATACGCAAAAACTTACTTCTTCTTCAAAGTGAATTTTACATAAAGCACACTGGGGCACTTTCATCAAGAGATTCTAAATTAAAAATTGAATTAATGATGCCACTACCCAGATTAAATTAGCTTTACTCTACATCTTAATATTAACATACATATATGTAACATGCATTTGATTTCTTTACGTTTTCGTAAAGAAATGTGGTAAGGTACTTCTATCTAATCTAAGACAAACATTAACGCTAATCCTCTTACACTGCGCTGGCTATGCAGATTAACTTCGCAATTCATTGTTGAAAGAAAAAAAGAAAAGCAATTAATGAGTTTTATATTCAGTTTTGATGAAATGGTCTTGATTGTTCTCTGATTATTATGGTCTATTCGCGTGATTATCTCGTATAATGTTTTGATCTTAGTAGGATGAATACCCATTAAAATGGCCGTTGCATAATCAGTAATAGTCTTTGACGAAGTGTTGACAGTATTACATTGTTTAAGACGGTGATTACAAAACACCGTTGCTCTGCTCAGGCATAGTTGGACAGCAAAGAGAAAAGAAAGTATAAAAGAGATAGAAGAAGTTATAAAAGGTAAAACAGGTCATAGGCTAATGTCGAGTATGTTTAATTTCTATTAGGTATTCCGTGACATGTCACATGAGAAAGTTTTTTATTACAGTGTGTAGTACATTACCGAAAACTGGGCAAAGCGGGCTTGCCCTGGTAAAATAAAATAGGTATAGATGATTGTTTTATTAACCAGATGGTAGTAAATTAAAGAGCATTTCATGTCGATGCCACTCACGTGCATAAATTCATTGATAACAGACAGAATTTTACATTATACAGTTAAAGTCAGGAAAAAAATATTATTGATGAATGTACTCAAATATAGTCTTATTATGTTAATAAATAGATTTTATAAAAACGGTATGCTCAATATGTTTTTCTGATGTCATATAAAATGTTACAGATATTACAGATGAACATGCAATATCAAGTAATTGTTTCACTTTGTGATTAATAAATAGTTTGGTTTTTGTGAATGGAATTTTAATAAACACCATTGCATGTCAATTTCCATAAAAATTCGCTGACTATTTTGCACATTGTGTAAATTGTCGTCATTTGCAACTGAAACGCAGTAAGACATTGTATAAGTAAACTAAGCAAAAACAACAAAAACACATCTGATACTATCAGCTGCTAACCCCATTTCAGTGAACAAGACTAATAATATCTACTTTGTTTACGGAAAGATATTCCAAAAGCAAGAATACCAAACGATATAAAGCAGATATACCAAATGATACAACACTGGAGATTTTTATCCGGTCTGTCCATTTCTATATCTAAAAGCAGTCCACTTAGATTTTTGTTATACAAGGAAACATCGAAAATATCATTTCCATTATTTTTGTTTATTTATTGTGTTACGCTAAATAAAAGTAAAACTGATAAAGAATTACACACGGTTAAAATAACGGTAATACATAATAAGAATATCTGAATCGGCTGGCTAGTTTAAACTGTAAATTACACTAACTATGTTATTGTATAAGGCCCCGTAAAAACTGTAGTACTAAAATATCACCGTGCATTGTATTCCTGGTTCTCTATCAACAGAAGGTGTAACGATGATTAAAAAGGTACTTATCTTTTCAAATATAAAAATATCTAGAAATGTTTGACAGGTAGCTTTGAAAAAATTTCATAGTTCTAATAAAAAAATCAGGAGACGGCGAACAATTTGGGGGGAGTTCCTTAACTTTCTGTAAGAAATTTTCATAGAAAGAGCTTTCAGCCTGTCTAAATAAATTTGGCAAGTCAACTTTTTTATAGAGTTTCATCACTTGCTCTATTTTCTCCGGATCTGGGCTGCCATAACATTGCTCGAAAATCTTCCTATCTTCCGTATTAAAATTTTCAATCGCTACAACGGCATTCCATGTAAATTTTCCTATTTGAATATCAGTTTTACTTTTCTTTGACATAGACTCATCGTAGTCCAAATATTCTGTGAAATCATTCTGGAATATAGAATAATTTCTATTATTATTTCATTTATTAATGGAAATACAAACATAAAATAATTAAACAAACAAATCTAACAAAATAAGTTAAACATATTTTGTAGTGTTCTTCCTAATAATCGTATCATTATGCCAATAATTGCTCTGCTCTACTTACATGTATCTGCACCAGCATACCCAAGTCATGACACATATCTGTTACGAGTTGATAAGTCTTCTCATTTCCTTTATTACTCAGAACTAAAGCCGTCCATATTGGATATATCATGCTGAAAAACGATGCTTTATAATAGGCCATCTTTCGATAGTTCTTCATTGTGAAATGGTCATAACCTTTTGTTATGGCGGCCGTCAAATCAATATGCTGTCCTATTTCGGTAGAAAGGTAGCACTGTAAAGATTATTTTTCACTTGACGTTTTTTTTCCAAACGTATGTTCTGTGCTGACAGATGGCACGACAAGAAATATGAAAAAAGTTACAAAGTTCATCAAGAATAACTTATGGAACAACTGTTTATGGATATAATACATTTAGGTTCTGTGTGGTAATGGAAGCAAAACTATGATGTATAATGACAGGTAGCAAGAATACCGTTGCCTTGTCAGTACAGTAAAGTTTTTATCATCAATTATTAATACCGGCCCGCTTTGAAAAATAATTGCCGAAACTTAATCATAAAAAATACTACCTCAGGTTTTTCGATAAACCATGGTATAAATTTTGCAATTGTTTATCTGTGAGTTAGAAATGACACATTTTAGCTTGTGAACTAGACTAAATAAAGATAAAGTGTGACAATAACGGAAAAGAATGATTAATGTAGTTTCATTTCATCACAATTAAATTTTAATAAGAGGTTACAATTGCCGATGCGGCTGGTGACAACAGGCTTCAAGGAAGTAAATGGAGCTAGCGGTCTTAGCACCATGCCGCGTGGAATAAGTTTGTTAGACAGCGTGTAATCAAGTTAGTATTTAGTATTGTAAATGTATTCTTATTTTAAATAAATCTTAAATTACATCGTATAAGAGATAATATAAAAAAATACCTCGTTAAAGACATCCATAATAGGCCCGTACATTGGCTCCTCGACGGTCTGTTTCAAGACCTCGTTGCTGAGGCTTCTAAGAATACTGCAGTCGTTCATAGCTAATCGGCTAGCATCACGTAGCAAATGCCAACATTTTTTTCCCGATCGCGTCAAGCTTTTGTCATATACGTCGTCTTGCAAGTAAAAATATGTTTGAGTCTGAAAAACGTGATGTAAGAAAGAATAGTCCTCCAGTCCAATATTTCTAAACTTCCCTGCGGATTGCACGTGCTGTCGAAAGTTGCATAGTTACCGATTGCTGAATTTTTTCGCTGATGATTTCAAAATTTAAAAAAAAAACATGGCTTGCGTAAAAGTTCTTCAATTACTTCCAATAGATTTTAATAATACAGCAAAAAGGTTTCTATTAGAATATGGTTCCCAATACGGATAAAGGTTTCTCATTTATTTATTACTAAGAAAAGAAAACCTTTTCCTACTTTCTACCAGATAAACGGTGTTCTGTTAACCAGAGTTGATTAAGACCGTGACTTGGCAGTGTTTGTTGACAGCAAGCTAAAGTTTAATGTGCATATAGACTAAATTGTTAGAAACTCTTAGCTCTCAATTTTTCAAACAAATTACAACGTCTAAGCTTACACTTCCTGTTTTTTTTTTTTGCTTTTAGACCTATAAGTTTGTAGATACATAAATTTTGTGTATACCTGTAATAGGTAAATAAATAAGAATTACCCCAATATGATACCTAAATTTTACTATAATGATGATGAATGAATGATGATGTTGGGTTGCCTAAGAAATAAATAAATATTATTGAATGCACTATTAAAATTGTTTTATCAGTAAACGCAAATAAATCAATGTTCATGTTTTATTTGCATTCACTGGGTTGTACTTATTTTATTGCTATATACCATGCTCGAATAATGTATAAGCTTGTGAAATTTTTTTATTTAATTTTACACCTTCTTACTACTCGGCATTACCCTTTAGGTCGACGGGTAGAGAATACCTCCGACTCCCCTTTACCCAATATTTATGAGATACTGACAGTTTTTGTTTATAACGTGTAAATAATATGTGATACTAACAATATTTTTCTATAACTTGTAATGAGCAAACGGTGCACATGATTTCCATTAAATCACACCAGATATGGAGATGTGCTATGAAGGCGAGTTTCCAGTTATCTATATCAGAAGAAACGCAAAAATACATATACACTTTATTACGCTGGTCAGACTTTTTAAATCATTGTCTTAAAATTTATTGGCGTTTAATTTCAATATAGTTTCCGAATTTAAATGACCTTTGTTTCCAAACATTTTACATTTATCATAATGCATACATTATCATAATGGTTAGATGCTTACATTATTATTAAAATCTCATTTCAACTTTTTATAATATGAAAACTACTTTTGCTGTTATTATCATGTTAGGGTCGTAGGACCACGCAGCAGCCTTGGCTGTTGCACGAATGGGTAGGCTCTTCCGAGTAAATACCACGACCTCACAGAAGACCGACGTCCGGTGGAAGTAAAATACTTTCGGGTGAGTGAGGTAGCAGAAGCCCAATTTTCAAAAGGTTGTCAACGCACCTGCAACCCTCGGGTGTAGCAAATGGCCGGCGGTATTAACTTAAAATCAGGTGAACCGCCTGCTCGCTTGGCAACTTTTCACATATAAAAAAAACTAAATGCAGACACGAGTATTTCCAACATAATAAATACTTAGGTATAACTTTGATAACTATAAGTATTATACACACCATTTCTACAGCACATGCAACGCTGTACACTAAATGCAACGTCTCATCGTTTATCACCTTAGGAGATTCTAGCATTTCGTAGGCATAGACCAAAAATTCACCTTCAAGGGGAAATCTTTTATAATACTTGGAAACCTGAAAAATGAAACTCGTATTATTTTGAACTGAAGTCTAAAAATACTTAAGGAATAATGTTCATACTAGAATACTCGGCGCAACATTAACATAAGGGATTTCATCACTACATAGTATAAAACAAAGTCGTCCCTCTGTCTATCTGTCTATGCATGCTTAAATCTTTAAAACTACGCAACTGATCTTGATGCGATTTCTTTTTACTAGATAGAGTGTTTAAGAGGAAGGTTCGTACGTACCCGTGTGAAGCTGGGGCGGGTTGCTAGTGCTAAATAAAAAAAAAGATCCAAAGGAGTTTGTTGCAATTTTTTCACACAGTAGACTGGATAGTTGTAATTTTTTTATGTCGGAATATGGCAAGCGAGTTGGCGATTCACCTGATGTTAAGTAATAACCACCATCCATGAACATTTGCAACATCGGTAGGGTTGCAAATGCGTTGCCACCTTTTAAAAACTGGCCCCCGGCTACCTCACTCACCAGACGAAACGCAGCATATAATTATATAATTTCCACTTCAATGCTAATGCATGTGTAATGGCGCAGTGTGATTATATGATTTACCTAATATATAAAAAACAAAATAATCCAAAAAAAAAAACGTATTTATGCTAGTGATCTTAACTAAAAGTCAAGACTATTCTTACTCTATTCAAACAATCTTCCACAACCAAATGGTCCAAATATTTAATTCGTTCTAAAGTCTTGTCTATTAGCCGTGGATAGAAGTCATTATAATCCATACAAAACTGGGTTGACAACGATGAAGGTCTGTATTCTTTGAATGTCCTGAAATAATGATATATTATTGTATAAAGTCATCTGAATTTATTTACATAAAATATTTAAGTTATTAGTCCAATGCATTAATTATTCTATTTATACTTAAAGTTCTTTTATATATAAAACAAATATACTGTAGGATAATTTCACCATAAATTCCGTATAGAATACAAAACTTTATTATATAAATTTAAATAACTTTCGAAACTATACGAACTTATTCATTTTTATGTAAAATTTTACGTCAAATATTTTTTTATGTCACATAGACGCTTGTCTATGTGAATAAAAATATTTTAAAATTTTAAAACTACACTTTATCTTGTATCACAAAGCTTACATGAGGATTATAAGGTAATTTTTTTGTTGGAAAATTACGTTCTATTGCTTACCAATTACTACAATTTCTGGAAAGTTTAACTAAATTTCTATATACCGCCATTTTCAAAATTACTTCACAAGTTGAAATGAACGGTGTAACGAGACTAAACGTTGCCAACTACTATCGCCCGATTAACTGTCACGGCCCACTGGTTACTGCTACATACTAAGTGTGAAATTAACTCTGTTTGCCAAGTGAAATCGTGATAAAAGCTCATAGAACTCAGCAACGTTTTTATAAATAGTAAACAATCGCGTGTTTCAGTTTTTTTTTTTTGCCCCATCATCTTTCTCGTTTTTCCACATTATTTGTGCTTTTATAAGAATAGTAATTAATTTTAATTTTAAAGATTTTGAGCAAATATCTCATTCGACAGTGTTGCTGACGTTGGCTACGAATTGTCCTTCTAGGTGCTCTGTTTCTATGTCAGCCCTGTCTCGGGCTTCAAAATGCTGACGAATAAACGGATGGGCTGAGGTTTTCAGCTGAGCTGGCGGTTAAGGTCGTGAAAGGAGGATTGGAACTCCACGGGCTGTTCGATGCACCTCTCCCACGAGTAGGCCTCCCAATTGGTCCTAAATTTGGGAATTGGGTCCTCAGCCGGACTCAACACGATGAGCACAGGGAGCTTATCCGTATTCGCGTCGTACAGCACCTCTAGGGCATCTATGGCATTTTGTGGCAAAGCGCGATTTCCAGTATATCAGGAGCGTGATTTTCGGAGGTTTGCGTCGGCTCTTCAGGACCTAACACCTCATAACCCGCCTCTTCTGCGTCCTCGTAGAGACTTCTAGCAGCAGGGGCACGATCATAGACCTTCATAATGGATGATTGACATTAGGATCCAGGAGGATCCAGGAACCATTAGGATCTAAGAGTGCTATTGGAAAAGATCTTCCAAATGTATCTGACGATGTAGTGCGTACTGGGTGGGCGATGCGCAACGACCATGCGTATCTCTTTCGCACTCATGTGGAGGCCTATGAAGGCCTATACGCCTATGAAGCGCGTGCTTTCGTAGCTGTGAAGTTAGACAGAGACGACTGGCTCTGACAGAGGTTAGTCTCACCCAGCATCACAACTTAGATATTGTGCTACTAAAATGGGGCCGAGTAGGAAGGCACGCTGAATGTTCCAGGATGTCTTATCTAGAGGGAAGTTGCTCCTCGAGAAGGGGTTGCTAAGGCGGACAGCGCTGGCAGGGTCACGAACGTGTTTCCGTTGTACTTCCGCGTTCCCGTGGCACTGCGGATATGCGCCTGGGTGGAATATTTTGTGGGAGTTTTAGCCGGTACGAGTCCGACATAACCGATCCTTGCCCTCGTGAGGGCGGAGATGCGTAGGCATTTAATCTTCGTTGACAAAAAAAGTTGTTTATTTTTTAATATTATAATATTTTTTTTAATGTTTATCACTATACTTTCAATTCAAGGATAATTTTTTTTACATTTCAAAAATATGAAAACAGAGTAAGTGTTTAACGAGGCAGGAAGTAAACCAACTCGCTAATTTCAATCAAAAAGAAATAAAGTGGGTCGCTTTTTACCTCACTTATCGGTCTACAAACTACAAACAAAGTCTTTCGTCACCTTGATGAGGCATGAAACCAGGAGATTCTGGGCCAAACTGACCTAAACAGCCATTGTAAAAGTCGATATTGATCTATTGTGGTAAATAATATGAAAAGTGTTTTTTTTGTACGGACCCGACGCTGCGATACCCAAGTCTTAAATGCGAATCCGTGAAGTTTTTGAAATTACGAATCCAAACCTTAAAAAAATTGAGAATCTAAATCATGAACACACACAAAAAAAATTATCAGAATCGGAGCCGTTTAGGAGTAGTTCGGTCACATATATACCGACAGAAGAATTATATATATAAAGAAACTTAATTAACTTTAAATTATTTAATAATAACTAACAGTAGCTTGTATTACAATTATTTAAGTCTGACACTCGTTAAATAAATATTTTCGATAATGGATGAAGCTTGCCACAGTGAGGTCGTGTCGTCGATTATGTCCTTTGCAATAATTGTTCGGATTGCTATATCAAATAAATGTTATTTTATGATTGTTAGTAATTAGTTAGTTTAGTAGTAGAACTAAATTCAATTAAAGATTCAATTCCACTTGTCCTCCGACATAAAGTTTTGAAAAGTTTGTCTTTGCTCCAAAATTGAATTGTGGACCAGTCTGGCAAACCAGCGTTAAACTTATGTGTTAAAATGAAATTGCTTATTCTTTTGTACGGGATTCTTCCAAATTATTGCTAAAACAGTATAATTAGATGCAATTTTTAAATATTTGCAAATATATTCCATCATCGTCTCAGCCTTATTTCCTTACTGTCAGGTATATGTAGGGTTGGAACAATTTATTTAAAATTCTACTCCTTTTGAATATATACAAAGTGATTTTGAAATTGTATTGTAGAATTAAAGTCAATACTTCAACGTTTTTCACAATAAAAGAATCTTACTTCGGCTTATCAAAAAGATCTGGAACGTGCTAGAAGGCAGTTCTGGTGGATCTCGAAATGGAAAGAAGAAGAGCAAAAAAGTAAAACGCGATATCTTTATAAAATATGTGATGATAAACTTTCAAGTATTATTAGATTTCTTCTTCTTTAACGATGGCAAAAGAACTGGAAATATTTGTTGTATTGCTTTATATACTTTGTCTTCAGCAAATACCTTTGTAGCCAATAAGTGCAATACACTATACAATTCAAACTCCGAAAAATATACAATAGTACAAACATTGCACGGATGCCGTGATACGAGCTCTGCATACGTGATGTCGTTGACGAGACCTTTTGAGAGGTTTCGTTCAGGGTTGGCAGATTATTAACAGCGGTAATGTGACATATTTCGAATGGGTCGGTGGAGTAGTGTAACTATTGGCTTTCGCGCCGGTTCTTGGGTTCAATTCCCATCCGGATCTGGGTGTTGTACCCAAGAAGGGCAGGCGGCCGGTCGTAAAACAACTAGCCGACACCACTTGCAACATGATTCATAGTTGTCCCGATCCCACCTAGTTCCAATATTTGTAATATTTTAAGATTTCTTGGACATAAAATCATTAACATTATAGAAACTATTCTCGATTTACTAATTATAAAATTTTATTTTAAAAAGTATTTAATATTTTAAGTTCCTTAGGTATCTTGTTATATATCTGCACACACATAAATAGACAGCTTCTACTATATTTTCTCAATTTAGGATTATCACTCAGTACAAGTCTGTATGGGTCCCGCCGGTTCCGAATATGTATATCATCCGCTGTGTTAAATAATTTCTTGTGCTTCCAAACAAACATGCCTACTTCATATAATATATAAAGAGATGGTAGTGTCAACAATACAAGTTTTTTATAAATCAGCTGACATGAGTCAGTAACTTCTAAGTCCATTTATCGCTCTGATACACTTCTTTTGCGCAATAAAGGCTATTTTTTGTTCACTGCTATTACCCCATATTACGATTCCATAGCGAAGAATTTACTCAACATATGCGCGGTAGGACAAAATAGCTGTTTTCAAGTCTATAATATTTTTTATTTGTTTAAGAGCATAAACAAATTTATTTATTTTAACAGATATATCGTTTATGTGTAGTTTCCAATTTATATCTTCGTCTATAGTTACACCTAAAAATTTTGTATGTGTAACTGCCTTTATTTTTGGTATATTTAGTTAAGGATATATTCACTGTTATTACACTTATTAAATTGTATGTACCTATACTGATTTATTTAAGTTGATTTTTAGATTATTTGCATTTAGCCATTCAATTATCTATTGTGTTATTTATATCTTTTTCATGATCATCTACCGTGCAATATTTTTTTCTGATGTTACAATAATTGAAATATCATTGTCTTTATACTTGCAAAGCGCTGGCTACAATCCTGGCGGTATCTTAAGTCGTCTCCGCACTTAATATTCTTCTTAAGTGCTCTTTGTGCTTAAGATTAAAGCAATAAAAAAAATTAATCACTAATCTGCAGTAAGCAGCTTAACTAATTATTAGTCCACACAGGTTAAGTCGTGGGTACAACAAGTTAAATTACAATACAAATTCTTTTACTACGTACTTTATATGTGAAAAAAAAGAAAAGTTAAGTTAAGTTAAGTCGCAACCGGTGCTAATTAGTATCAAGGTAACGTCGACCTGCAAAGTGATTGCAGACTTCCGACGCTATGCGAACATTTTCAAGACCTAACCAAACGGTTCATCGACAGAGCCGAAACCCATTCCAATCCTGTGGTCGTAAACACAACGAATTACCAACCCGACATAAATGCAACCGCTTAAAAAACCCGTTAAATATACCTCTCGATCCCCGTTGTGTATATATGTAAGTCTCGCGAGACGACACTATACCCACACATAGTACTAACACATGACTAATTAGTTTATCCTCGCCTACGAGCATGTCGAAACCAACACAACGCGTACACAAGGTACACCAGTTTCCACCTCATTCTCACCTCCCCCAATTAATATAGTCAATGGCCATCGGCAGCCATGGTACGCACGTTGATCGCCCGTAGATGAAACGCGGAGGCCTCTATCAAGGTAGTGGGTCCTGGCCATCACACGAGTTCAATGAAACTTCATTAGTCTACGGACTGAAAGCAAGAACACTTTTTTAATTGAAATAAAGTAAATTATGTTATAGCTTAGTTATATATTAACTATTCTGTATCATACATAACTCTTCTATTTCATACATATGATATAATTTTTTTACCTATGTTATGTATGTTTTCAATTAAGATTGTTTTACTAGTTTCATTAGTCATTTTATCATTTGACAATATGTCTATAAACTCTTCTAGTTTTCTTTTATTATTTTGCCATTTTATTATAAATCACTCGTAGTGACAACCCTAGAGTAAAAAGCCCTTTACAAAGTGACATGGAGTACGTCTCTTTGATCGAATAAACGCAAAGTATTTTCCACAGACTCATTCAAAATTCACTTATATAAATACGGTATATCCAAAATTCGCATACACATATTATAATGTACCAGTTACTTTATACAA